AAAAAGCATTCCATAGCTACTATTCTGATTTTTTTAATGGAGATATAGTTTCTATTGCATATTTCTTATTGTAAAACTGTATGTGTTCTTTTTAGGAAAACTAGAAAATGCCAAAACATAGAGACATAAAAATATATTGATATATTAGGACCCGCAGTTAGCGTAATGGCTGTCGCTGGACTCCCACGTAGTCGACCGCAGTTTGCGTCCTGGACCCGGTGGCTTAAAACTCACGCCAGGCGCGTGTGCGTGCGTGCCCAAGATCCCAAGAGGAGAATGCAGGAGAAAGGATTGCAGCGTGGCCATCCCCTCTGGGGGGTGATTTCTTGGTTTCTTTCTCTCTGTCTCTGTCTGTCTGGCGAGCACCAGACAAAAGCACCCTATAGCAAAAACCTCTAAAATATATATAAAGATAGATAGATACAGATATAGATAAAGAATTCTTGATACACAGTGGCAGGTACCCCCAAGTCTATTATTGTACATGTTCATGTGTAAAATAGGGGATCAGAGTACTTGGTTACTTATTTGTTAACGCTAAATACCATGTCCTCAACATTACATATGTTGTAATTGTTAATAGTTTTTGATTGCACAACCAATATCTAGGGCAGAGTCTATGCAAACCTGAAGACAAATTATAGTCCAATGAGTATTCGCCAACCATTTTACAGAAGGTAATTTCACATAAATATTCAGTTTCCACTTCCTTTTGAAAGATGGGAAGTTCTGTGATATTGCCACTCCATCCCACTTGGCCACAGTTGCTGAGAACTGATGGCAGCTTCCCATGTAAGTCAGGGTATGTGCCCTCCTTCAGTGTAGTCCTTCTCTAGGCTTTCTCACTCCTGATATTCTGGCCTGATCCCACAGCCAGCTGGATTTTCAAGGATGATAATTTGTCTAAGGTCGTGGCCATACAGGCCCCTAAGGGAAGGTTCGGAAGTATTTTCTGTCTGCCACACTACTGACACTTAATAGGATGGGTTCAGAATGTGTGGGCTCCTTGAATGTTAGGGGCGGTATTGTACCTGAAGGAATTTTTCCTGCGTCCTGTATTTTCTTTCTTTCTTTCTTTCTTTCGTTCTTTCGTTCTTTCGTTCTTTCGTTCTTTCGTTCTTTCTTTCTTTTTTAGAGAGATTTTTGCTATAGGGCACATGTGCTCACCAGAAAGACAGACAGAAAGCAATAAATCCCCCCCCAGGGGAATGGCCATGCCACAGTCTCTTCTCCTCCATTCTCCTCTCGGGATTTTTGGCACATACACATAGGCACCTGGTGTGAGTTTTAAGCTCTTGGGTCTGGGACTCAAACCACAGTCGACTACATGGGAGTCCAGAGATGTTACCATAATGCCATCTGCTTGTCTTGTATCCTGCATTTTCAAATATCCCTTAGGATGTCCATATAGGTGAAATACCTGTTGATAATTATTTGAGCCTAGAAACAAAGTCTGTTGCACATATAAAAATGTTTATTCAATTTTAATGTATATTGAATTTCCTTGGCTACAACACTGCGTAATTTCAGGTTAGACTGTTCTTTGTCTTATCTCTAGAAGTTTTACTGAGAATTGTTTGCCATTCCAAAAACCATATAACTGATAACAATGCTGCTCATGGTACCTGGAAAACCAACATACCATAGCTCTATCAGTTTCATTTGGATCTCCCTTGTTCAATACCAAAAAAAAAAAAAGTTGAGATCTTTAAAATCTTTATGAATAAATAGTAATTCCCAGGTCCTATGAGAAAATGTCTTTAAATATGAAAAATTATTTTTCATGTTTCTTTTTATTTACAGTCTGTAATTTGCCTTGATGTGTTATCTAGACTTTAAACTTATTCTTTTGTTTTGTTGTATGACTTTAAGTGTGCCTTATTCTTTCTCTCTTTCTCTCTCTCTCTCTCTTTCTTTCTTTTAAGAGAGATTTTTGCTATAGGCTGCACGCACTTGCCGGAAAGACAGAGAGAAACAAAGAGCCACAAAGTGAGAAATCACCCTCCCAGGGGGCATGGCCATGCTGCAATCCCTTTTCTTCCATTCTTTTCTCAGGATTTTGGACACGCACTCACACATACCTGACGTGAGTTTTAAGCCACTGGGTCTGGGACTTCAACCTTGGTTGACTACATGGGAGTCCAGCGATACAATCATTATAGCATTTGCTGGCCCAAACTCTGCTTTATTATTTCTTATTGAAATACTAAATTATATCCTATTGTCCATATGACCTCTCAACACTATTCTCTTTCTCCTTCCTACTTCTCTTGTAAAGATTGTCTTCTTTTCTTTTTTTCTTTTTTTGAAGTTTATTTATTTAAAAAGTTTATTCACTTCTTTCATGGGGGAAGGAGAGAGACAGAGAGACAGTACCCTCAACATGATTTTGAAGTCATGGTCAACCACCAGCCGTAGCCAGCCCCAGAACATGAGCGTGCGAGTGCCCCATGTATTCACAGAGGTCTCCAGACGCAAATTCAGAACCTTCCCCTGTGGCTCAGCCTCATAGAGCCAGTGTGCCACTATCTGGCTCCAGGACCAGCATCCTACTACCTCTCTTTAGTTCAGCTGTCACACTGGTAATCAGGCAAGCATCAGAAGATTTCTTAAAGTTGTAAATGCTCATGCCTAGAAGCATTTTATTGATTTTTAAAAAAAATATATGGTGTAGATGTTGATCATGTAATCTATGAGTTTCAATTTAGGTTAATAAAAAAGGCAGTACAAGAATTTTGTTTTAAAAGCAGGGCCTTGTAGGACCAACAGGTGACATAATGGTTATGTCACTGGACTCCCATGTAGTTGAGCACAGTTCGAGTCCTGGACCCACTGGCTTAAACTCATGCTGGGCACATGTGCGTGCATGCCCAAGATCCCTAGAAGAGAATGGAGGAGAAGGGATTGTGGTGTGGCCATCCCCCCTGGGGGGGGGGGTAATTTCTTGCTTTCTATCTCTCTGTCTGTCTCTGTCTTTCTAGCAAACTCATGTGCCCTATAGCAAAAAACTGTTAAAAAAAAAAAAAAAAGGCAGGGTCTTGTGCTTTAGCTGTTTAAGTTGTCTAGGTGAGCAAAGACACAAGTCTTAAGAGGCTTAGCATCTTCTAGAAAGTCTCCACATAGGAATAATGAATGACTAGATTGAGAAAAAGACAAAATATTCTCTAGGAGTTCCAAAAGGGGCAAGAAGTGAGTCTGAACGAGGGAAGAAGTCTTTTGGAAGCAGCTGAGGAATTCACTGAACCTAGAAGCCTGAGGAAGCTGTGAAGAGTTTTAGAGAAGGAACAGTAAAGGGCGTTTTCTCCTTTTTCATTTTTTCTTCCTTTCTTCTCTAGAATTATCTTTTCCTCTTCCTTCCCTGACGGTACAGGAATGGGAGGGACTAAAGTCACAGGCTCATGTTGTGAAGAATTGATTTTAAGTATTTGTTCTTACCTTAAACTCACAAATATAAAGACTTTGAGGCCTTAGTAGTATGCGGTTGTTGCTCTCCAAGAGAAATCACTGGTGGAATTCCAGCAAGGCATCGTTTGCATTTTACTTCAGCGTACTATGTTTTCTCATACCTAATTTAAAAAACAAAACAAAACAAAACAAAAAACAGACTTATGGAAATGGAAAATTAATGCAATAGATCTCCAAAGTTTTTTCTTTTCTCATTTTATTAAGAAAATACTGGGACCAGCAGCTAGCATAATGGCTATGTCACTAGACTCCCACATAGTTGACCGTGGTTCGAGTCTCAGACCTGGTGGCTTAAACTCAGGCCGGGTACATGTGCATGTGCGCCCAAGATCCCAAGAAGAGAATGGAGGAGAAGGGATTGCAGTGCCATATCCCCTGGGGGGATGATTTCTTGCTTTCTGTCTCTCTGTCTTTCTCTATCTTTCTGGTGAGCACATGTGCTCTATAGCAAAAGCCTCTCAAAAAGAAAAACAAAACAAAACAGAAGCTACTAAGCTGAAGAAATACTAAGATGAAGAGTTGCTAGTTTTCTTAGTCTGCTTTAGCTTACCAAATTTAACTCCTTATGAAACCATCACCACATGTGAACGTATGATAATCAGAATTTCTCTGAAAGGACATCTTCTAGGCCAATCAAAAGCAAGTGTTAATGAGTCTTCAAGATGATTTGGTTTTCAGATATCATTTTTCCTCATGCTATAATTCTTACATATAAGGGAAGTAAACTTCGAAGCATGTACTCTCTGATTTAATTCAAATTCCACCCATTTAAGTAAGAAAAGTGCATGATTTAGAGTTCTTGGTGACAGTGTTTTATATGTTATTATCTTTTGGAATTGGATCAAAACATCAAAAATATTTTATTTCATTAAAGCAGTCTCAGGCTCTGTGTTTCCTTTTCACTCATTGTAGTTTTTAACATCTAGGAAACAGTTCATATTTCCTCCTTCAGAAATGTTTAATTTTCTTTTATTTGGAGGCACATATTTGTTACTTTGTCCTGTGTTTTAATTACCAAGCTTCAGAGGAAGAGAGTCATCGGAGCCAAGGCCCTAAGTTGTGGAAGTTTCTATATCCGGTAAACTGGCTCCATTCCAGGGCAGAATAATTTATCAACAAATGAAACACCAACCACTTCCCACACGTCCTCTGATTGCATTAAAAAAATCACTCCCCTTCCCACCCAAACCGACTGAGTGTGCTTAGAGTATGGATCTGATAGACATTCTTTCTCCTCCTCCTCATTTTGTTGAATTGCTGCTTTCTGTAGTCTATTAGGCTTCTTATTAATAGTAATAAACTGTTCATTCATTAACGGTCTCATGCCTACATACCAGATATTGCCAGTGTCTTTGTCCCTAAGTTATACTGTCTTTATAAAGGTGTGCTGCAGCAGAGAAACAGGCTGGAAAACTGATTTTGCGTGTGAAGCATCAGGTACTATTTAACCAGTGGGAGGGACTGATAAAATTAGCAAGTTGACTAACCACTTCCCTTCCTTGTGGCTCTTTAATATTATAACGGATACAGAAAAGTTCAGAAGGAGTAGGCTAGTTTTTGAAACCACAGCACATTTTGGCCAAGAGGGAATGCACAACAGAACTGGTAAGTTTCTTTCTTTTAATGTTTGAATCTAGAGAATTGTGAAAAGGATATTGGGGTGGACACTTTGAAACTTGACTCTGCAAATAGTCTGCAGCCATTCGGAGACTAGAAAGATAAACCTGTTACAAGGAGGGAAGGAAAAGGTTTTCCAATCGGCAGCAGTTGCAGCAACAACAGAAATTTTAGAGGGAGCAAGATATTAAACTCTGGAAATGTCTTTATTGTTCCAGATAGATAAGACTAAAATATTTGGGAAGGATGTTCTTGAATTATTTACATTTCTGACAAATAAGTTCCTGTACTCTCAGTTCTCAAAATTCATACTGGAATTGTCAGCAGAAGCATTGTCTACTGAACCTAAATATCTGCATTCTGAAACAGCTTAAGATCTTTGGTCGTCTTTTATGGTTGAAATTTACTTTTATGGAAACTCTTGAACACAGAAGTAGAGTGAATAGTATGTAGATCTCCCCTCCATCTATAACAGCTTCAATAATCATGTCCTCAGGTCCCTGTCATTTCATCTATGGCTCTGTGACATGCTCCTTCCTTTAGACTAGTTTAGCTGCAATATTTTGAAATGTACTCATTGTGAACATTAAATGTAAAAGGTCTAAAATCTCCTAAATTCTCACACCAGCTCAATAATACAAGTTTTTTTTTTTTTTTGGAGAGAATAATACAAGTTTTAGAGAAATTTTATTACATAAATTTGAATTAAGACTCATATAAAGCAAGACTAAATTTCTAATTGTTGTTTTGCCAGTTGGGTATAGTAATATAGGTTGTCGATTGTGGAACCTCATTGTTTGGTTTAATTTTGGTTCTATTATAATCTAGTGTCCTTAAGGAAGTTTCTTAAGCTTCCTAAGTATCCTCATCTGAAAATGAAGATAATAATAGTACTGATGTCCTGCAGGTAGACAATGAGCCAGTGATGGAAAGACCACAATGCTAGGGACATAGAGTACTTACTCACTGTTAGCCCTCAACAGTTGGATGAAATTATTGGAGTGGTGGAAGGGTTGAAATTTGTTTACAAAGGAAGCCAAAAACTGTACCTGAGCAGATTTGGTTGTCTTCTGACCATTGTTTTCTCCTGATTATCTGATGATGGCAGTCTAGAGAGAGTCTCCATTGAGATCTCTTGCATGCTCCTGGGTTCCTGACAACTCACTGCTCTTGCTTTTCCTCCAAGTTCTAAATCAGTTCTCTCTGAAAGCAAACAGTATTCAAGCTTGTCTTGTCCACTTTCTCGTTTTGAGCTTGAGTGAGCAGAGGTTTGTCTTTCACAGAGAGGAGTAGCTGATCCAAGGGAAGACCCCTCTTGTGGGCTTCTCCCATCACTGTGAGGAGGTGTGTTGTAGCTGACTTTGGACAACTCAGATGGGACTGGGTGGCTGTTTCTCATCTTCCCTCTTTTCTTTGCCTTTCTGAGGTAGAGATTTCCAGGCCTGCCTAGACCTTCCAAGGGTCAAGCTGCTCAGATACTTTTTTCATTAGGAACCAGAATGGCAAAATTTCTGAGGATAGCAACAAATGAGAGTGTGTGTACATTCCTTTCTCTATTCTTTCTCTATGTTATTAATCAACTGCTAATTTTTGCCATTATTTGGCACTTACCACGTGCCTGGCATTGCACTGGACTTTCTTCTCATTTAATCTTCTCAATATCCCTATACTTACTCTCTTTCTTTGGAAAGGTTTGTGCTATAAGGCACGTGTGCTCACAAGAAAGAGATACAGAGAGACAGAAAGCGAGAAATCAGCCACAGTGGTTGGGAGGATCATGCTGCAATCCCTTATCCTTCATTCTCCTCTCGGTATCTTGGACATGCACTAACACGTATCTGGCGTGAGTTCAAGTCACCAGGTCTGGGACTTGAACCACAGTCAACTACAGAGGAGTCCAGTGATGTAGCCATTATACTATCTGCTGGTTTCCCTATACTTACTCTTAATATCTTTATTTTGTAAATAAACTAAGGCCTGGAGAGATTAGCAACTTACCTTTGATCACCTAGCTAATAAAAAGACAGGCAGGATTTGCTGCAAATCTGATTTAACCCATTCTTAAAGCATTTCAACGTGAGAAATAGATTTATTCAAATATGTACCATGAAAATACATCCATGGTTTTGCTCTCAGCTTTCCTGAAGGTGAAAGTCATCAGTATTCCTTTACAGTAAGCTAAATGGAAAAGCTTTTGTCTAGCAGTAGTTTTCCCACAGTGCATTTTCATAATGCCTAATTACAAGCTAGAAATTTGTCATAAATCTTGACAAATACAAAGGCTGGTAGGTTGGGGGTGGAGTTATCACTGTAATAAAGTAAGTATTGAGCTGAGTAGGTAAAAAAACAAAAGCTCTTTTAGTAAATTAACCATGCCTCAGTGGTAGATTTTGTTTTTAAGGCCATTTGTCTCTCTTGAGTTTTTGTAGAGGATGGCTGAAATAAATCTAAGTCAATTTTCAAGAACATGCAGTGCTGTTGTAAAACAAATGATAAACACTGATGCGCTGCAGAAATAAAAATTGGCTGAATCTTCTGGGAGGTACTGAGGAGAACTGGGACATGCACAGTCAGACATTTTAGAAACCTGGAATTGACTTTCAGTACTTTTTATTTTAGATTACTTGTACAATTGCAAAAATGGAACCAAATGTGTGAGTGGAGAGGTTAATTTCACAACTTCAGAGGTTTTTTTCTTTCTCCAATAAACTAATGGTGCTTCAACAACAACAACAAAAAAGTCCTTCACTGAAGAGACACTGTCTGGAATTTGGAATTTGGAGGTGATATTATAAACATCAGCTATAAAATTACTAGCTGGTGTTTTTATCAGGCAATCTGATACAATCCTAGAATCTTGCATTTTAACTTTATTTTTCCTTCATTGGCTACAGGACTTTTTTCATCTTGATAAGATCAGCCAAGATTCATCTATAAAAGCACTGAAAGAAATTTGAAATCATGTTATCATTTTAAAAAAAATTATTTAACTTTATTTATTATTATTAATTTAATAAAACATTTTGCTATAGGGCATGAACACTCACCAGAGAGAGAGACAGAGAGAGACAGAGAGAAAGCAAGAAAGCAAGCTGCCAGGTCTGGGACTTGAACTGCCTTCAGCCATCTGGGAGTCCAGAGCCTTAACCACCATGCCACCGATTGGCCCTGAAATTATGTTATCATTTTGCAGAGAAGGAAAAGGATACAAGGTGTTGGAGCTGAAGGTGGTAGAGGGAGTGAAGTGGGAAGGGTCATTGATATAGTGTCCTTGGATCTTTAAACCTTTGAGAAAGCAAAGGGGCGTTTTATTGCTGGTAACAACAAGCCATTTTCTAGAATCATTCTAGCATCTGTTTTGTTCTTGTTTTGTTTTGTTTTGTGTTTTTTTTTTTTTCTCTGACATTGTTATCTCATAAGAACATATTCACAACTTGAAGTAGTATTCAAGGTTGGAAATTTCTATATCTATGTGTGGCTAAGGATAGGCTCAGAATGCCATTTAGCTTATCACTGTCTATTCTATGGACGAATGCAATTTCTCTCTCTTTCTCTCTCTCTCTCTCTAATTGCTTAATGGTACATTTGCTTGCCAGAGAGAGAGAATGAGAAAGTGAAAATGCGCTACAATGGGGCATTGCCATGCCGAATCTCTTCTCCATTTTACCTTCCTGTTAGGGATTGTGAGGACATACACACATGCTGGGCATGTTTTTCAAGCCTCAGGTCTGGGATTCAGCTGTGGCTGGCCATTTGGGATCTGGTTTCCTTGACCATTAGAATATGAGACCAGTCCAGTGACGTTTTTCTGATGGACTTGGTCATCCACTAGGTTACCAAGTATCAGTACCCTCATGTTTCTAAATCCTAACCATGTTTTCTCTTCTAATCTTTAACATTTGTCAAGTGCTTCTATGTCATTGCTGTTCAGAGATCAAATGCTGTATTTAAAGATTTAGTAAAATTTAATAAGTAAAGCTTTGGATTTTATTAAGTGTAATAAATATATTTTAATAAAATTTTAATAAATTTAATTAGTTCAACCATTTAAATTTTAAGAATAAAATTTACTTCAATGCTTGAATAAGTAAAGGATATGTTTTTCTTTTTAAGGTGAGTTTCCTCTTCATTTGTTGCTTTATTATTTATTCACAAGTGTTGAGTATCTCCTGGTCTAGAGATTCTGAAATCAGTAATCATAGCTCCTGCTCTTGGGAAGTTCAGACTACTGGGTGGAACAAAGTTGTGTGAAATAGATGAAACCATGTTCATGAAATATGTTCCCACGACATTGGGCTTTCTACATTATCGTGTGGATTGGTAACATGGTGGTCATTGGCATAAAAAAAAGGCATGAACTTAATTTTCTTAAAATGTATTGCATTTTGACATACTGGCTAATCAATTTTCCTGGTGACTAATTGAACAAATATGCAAATTCTGTGAAAGAATTATGTTTTCTCAATTGTAGTGTATTTATTAATTATCTTATTTCTATTTTTCTGTAACTATATAGAATTCCAGGAGACAATAAAACATTACTTATGCTGGTCTGAATTGATTTCCCTGGAAGTATAAACTACTTGAACGTTGCACTTGATTTTTGAATCCCGTGTCAAAGTCACCCAGGTGCTATTGCTGAGGCAACCTGTAGGGGGTGTACCCGCATACTCCAGTTGTTATTAACTGAAGCCAGTTTTGTTCCACCAGATACATGTGGCAGTGTCTTGAGATATTTTTGATTGCCACAACTGAAGGCATGTAGGTGGAAGAGGCTGAGGATGCTGCTGAACATCGTACAATGCACGGGACAGCTCCCCCCTTCAACAGTTATTTGACCTATTGACATGTCAATTTCACTGAGGCTGAGAAACTTTGATATAGACTATGATGCAGACCTGCTTGGTACCCAGCATAAGGCTTTGGCAATCGTAGATCTTGACTAGAGTTTTTCCACAAAATAATGAGACATTTTTTACTGTCTTTTT